ATCTACAACAATCTATTTCACAAAACTTCATTTTTTTGGTAATTAATACCAGGGATAACATATATAAAAGGAGAGCAAGAAACCCCAAAGTTGGACATAAATCTTAAAATGGAGGTGTCTATTCTAAAGAACGAAAATGATACGCTGATAAATGTAGAGAAGAGAGTTTCTTGATCAAGTACATGATTTGTGACTGAGGGTGCATAGGAGACTCCGCCGGGTCTACATGCAAAATGGGTCGTCCCTGCCCGATCACAGTGCCCGGTGGGACACTTGTCACATGCTTACTGAAACGTATACCTCCTTCTAGCCTCAAACGCGTCGCCGGCTGATTGGCCGCGCTTGAGCCATCCTTTCCTACTTTATTTTATGCGTGGGGTGTAACATGGGTTTTGTTGCGGATCGTTAAAAACACATTTAGATTAAACAATTTACAAAATGTGAGGAAGTTTGAAGATGAACTAGACTAATTTGGAGTCAGAATTCATTATCAAGATATACAATATTACAACAAATTACGCAAAAAAAAGATTTGTTTCAATGGGTATGGTTGGAATTCATTGAAAATATATAGATGAGGCAATATACAAGATTTGAGCAAGATTTGAGGTGATACGGACTGGTTTGATATCAAAATTCGTAGTTAAAATCGAGTTTAAAAAATTCTTCTACTACACATGTATCTCACACACAGGTATATATGGATATACATGTTATACACATTTGATACACATACGATACATATGTGATACACAAATGATATAAAGTGTGATACACATCATCTTTTTTCATATTTTATCTTCTACTACACATGTATCTCACACACAGGTATACATGGATATACATGTTATACACATTTGATACACATACGATATATATGTGATGTACAAATGATATAAAGTGTGATACACATCATCTTTTTTCATATTTTATCTTCTACTTCGAATTATCAATTCAAACTGTCCCAAAACTCCATCAAAAATCATTCCAAAACTAAGATTCAAACTCCTTAAGATATACCCAATCTATTCCAACAACACTGACTCAAAATAAAGCAAAAATTAGACCTTTTTTTCTTTGCTACAAATAGCTAATTGGCTAATATTGGTAGCGTTTGGCTAATATTGATAATATTTGGCCGAGGGTCTATTAGAAACAGTTTCTCTGCCCTCCAAGGTAGGGGTAAGGCTGCGTATATCCTATTCCCAGACTCCAGTTGTGGAATTACACTGGGTGGTTGTTGTTGTTGGGCGGACATAACTGGTAGTTCCCTTTTTAAGTTTAAGTTGGATTTTGTTCTCAATTTCACAAACGCTGATTAAATACCTTATTTGCAGACGAAACCCACAAAAGAATGCCCACCAAATCCTTTCTAGCTTTAATTTTTGTACAAATCTTTACAAGAAAATAATACAACTAGTAAACAAGAGGATTGAGGAGAAGAAAAGGTCAAAATAAGACCAAGACAAAAAAAGGCAAAATTGATTTTAAACTTGTGTCTGGCATATGTGCAATTTTTCTGACCTTTCAAGAGCCCTTACAATTGAACTTTCCTTCCACAGACCGGTGTACTAAACTTCTGCTATGCACAGGGTCTAGGGAAAAGCCGGACCACAAGGGTTTACTGTACGCAACCTTACCCTACATTTCTGCAAGAGGCTATTTCCACGGCTTGAACCCGTGACCTCCTGGTCACATGACAGCAATACGGTCAGAAATAAGTTTTCTATGTATGTATAAACCTTGATAAGCTGTTACTGCTGCTGCTAATTGAACTATCTCTGAATCTATAACTGTGTAAGGAATATGATTCAAATGACTCAAAGCCAAGGGGCAGTGGCCTATCAGGTAATCTTGGAATGTCAATGTCACCCTCAAGCATTTTCAAAGCATCTTCAATTGTTGGTCTTAGAGCTACCATAACATGAGCACAAAGTATACCAACATGAACAAATCTCTCCATTACTATCTTTGGCCCTTCCTCCCTTATTGACACCTCGAAAACGCCTTCTACATTTCTTGATTTGACCATTGTCCATGCCCAATCAGTGATCAACAATGCAGAAGAATTCGACGCGTCAAGAACCCTCCTCCCACTCATGATCTCGAGGATCACGATGCCAAAGCTATAAACATCGCTCTTCTCTGTCAACTGTCCATATAGCGCATATTCAGGTGCTAGATATCCATATGTGCCAGCCACCCTTGTTGTAAGATGAGTTTGTCCTTCTTTGCTTTGCTTAGCTAATCCGAAATCTGCAACTCTTGCCTTCATATCCATGTCCACGAGTATATTCGTGGCCTTTATATCGCGGTGGTAAATTGAAGGTTTGATTCCATAATGCAAATAAGCAAGCCCTTTAGCCACATCGATAATTATGTTCTTTCGTTGAGGCCAAGATAATCGTTTCGTTCCAGCGTTGAATAGATGATCATCTAAGCTACCATTTGGCATGAAATCATACACCAAATATCTCCCTTTGCCATTCAAATCATCACTTGTGACACAAAAACCTCTTAAAGGAAGAAGATTTCTATGCCTAATCTTGCTTATAATCTCTGCTTCATTAATAAACTCCTCATCACCCTTACAATCCATATCAATAATTTTCTTCACAGCAATTAATGTACCATCAGAAAGTGTCCCTTTATAGACAGTTCCACTTCCTCCTTGGCCTATCATATTCCTTTGAGAGAATCCATTTGTGGCTTGTTCAAGCTCTCCTACTTGAAACCATTTAGCACCAGTGTTAGGCAAAATTTGGGATCTAACACTAGTCACATACCCTTGATGTAATGCATCTTGCTTTCTCTTTTTATCCCATTTTTTGTAAATAATAATAATAATACTTATAGCACCCAAAATCCCAAAGAAAGCACCTAAAAACCCGAAAACCAATTTTAACAGAGTGTCTCTGCTAAGATTGCGCGATCCTCTAGCCTTGTTAGCCAAAGGCAAGGCAAGAACACAACTAGCAGTTCTTGGATCCTTAGGTCCAAATTCATTAACCATAGCAGCAGCATAAAGGACAGTGAAATAGAAGCACCTGTTAGTCGTAGTCGAATTCGGATTCAAAGAAACTAAATAACTGTTTACCTTCAAACCAGCATCAACACACAAGCTGCACCTAGTAAGTCCTCCAAGATCACCAGTACAAGATGAGTCAAGTAGACTACTTGGACCAACTTTTTCCATCCAATCTTTGATTGTGACAATCCCTCCACAACTCGAAGGCTTAACGACGAATTCATTAGTGTCATTCATGCACTGAGAGACAAAAGATTGAGAAATGGACATGGAAGAAAGCTTGGATTTGAAGTCTGAAATGCACGAGACGACAACATTTTCGTTTGGGAGATAAAACATGGATGTATCTTTGAGGTATTGAGCGAGTCCTATTCCAAAAAGACTACGGAGAGTTTGGCAACAGCTCTTTTCTAAAGACTCTCCTGTGCATAAAGAAGTGTCCCATTTGCAGGTTTCTATGTAATCAAAGTTGATTGGACATGAAGAAGAATGCAAAGCATAGGAGAAAGGAAAAGAAAATGAGATGAAGAAGAGCATGTAAAAGAGAAATTTGGAGTTGAGTATCATGGCTATATAATGATTTGTCCAAAGAGTTCGTTTAATCACTTATAGTAAAGGAGATCAAAAATGGTTGGCGCATGTGGTCAATTTTGCACGTTTTAATTGAAAGAGCTGTAGGTGGACTTTGGAAAGTTTGGTCATAGTCAAGAAAATGTCACTAGTGCTTCTTTAACATAATAAATTAGGGGTGTGCATTCGATTTATCGATTCGATTTTGACCCTTATCGATTATCGATTTGTACATATGCTTATCGTTATCGTTTCAATAAGGTTTCGATTTCGATAACAAATAATCGATTCGATTTGTCGATAAACCGATTCGAATGCACACCCCTATAATAAATAAATAAAATAACTAGATCTGGAAGTCTGACTAATATCTCTTTCGAAATTTTAATTACTTTAGTCTTTTCGATGTTCGCAGATCAACTCAGCTATGCTTTCTTTATTTTAAGTATAACTAATTTGATTTCCTCGTTTAATCTTTAATCTTTACTCTTTTTTAAAAAAAAATGTTACCGTATTAATAGTTAGAATCTTTTACTTTCACGCGTAATGCCAACTTCTTGACATATAGAAGAGGTCCATCCTCAACAAATCAACCCGTATTAACAAGAAATATGTGAAATTTGGAAATCTAATAATGAAAGTCTTGGTTAGTTGTGGTATTTCTACTTATAATATTCCAGATACACATAATCTTTAGTTTACTCATATTCCCATCAAGGACTAAATAATAAATTGAACGGACAATGACACTGTATAGCCGCTTTTAAAATAATAGCCAAAAAAATATTTTTTTGGTATATTCGTCGTATATATACATTTTGTATGTTTATACAAAAATTATACAAATTTTATACATTTTTAAGCTACCAAATATAAATAGTTTCTGACGCGGGCTAAAAGTGTAAGAAACCCTAAATATAAATTGTCTCCTTGTGTAGGAATTGGAAAAACCAACATTTAGTGTTGCATTTTTCTCCTCAAATGTATAGCTAATTATATCTGTATTAACAAGTATACAAAATTTTGAACTGTAGAGGTTAATGAAAAGAGAGCAATTGGAAAAGTATGAGACAAGCGAAATAGCTGCAAGATAATGTAGCATTCATTTATCAAACTCCCAAATGACGACTCCACCCTCTGCAATCGCATCACAGACCAAACAACTTTAAAGACAAACCAGCAAAAATTAGCCAGCCAGTTTCTTTCCTAGAATTCTGTTTGAATACGTACCTTTTACCAACATTCTTTAGAGCAGGTAATACACATTTTACTCCCAGGCAATGTTATGGCTCAAACAGTTAGATAATTCTTCTCAGAACAGGTAATACCAAATGTATTTTTATCTGCCATGGTTTCAACCACTTCGTTGACCACTAGGGCTCACCCTTAGTTACTTGGATAATTAAAGAAGCAAGAATCTATAAAACATCAAACGGTGCTTCAAGTGACTGCAGACTATATTCAAAGTAATTGGCCTTTTTACAAAGCTGAATCTCTTAATAAGAAGATGGTCAACAGAAATTACTACTGTTACAACATTTACAAAAGAGGATCTAGTAAACCCCCACACCATAGACAACTGAAACCAGGAGCACGCAGTACCTTTGCTGCCTCTTAAATATGCTTGATAGGTTTTCCATACTAAACTGATATCCTAACATGTCAATGTGACAGCCAGCGGAGAACCAGGCTAGTATTTCTTACTAGCAAGCAGTGAGTAGATGCACTTTTCTGCACGTGAAATTTTTCCCATACATAAAGATGCATCTGCTTAGAACTTGCCAATTAGTAATTTCCCCTCTCGTATAGAAACCCTGTTAAATGATCTCTGCGATAAGTTTCTGAAGGGCTTCATTTGTAAGAGGAATATACAAGCAATCTTGACCATCCGAATTTCTTTTGGTTTTGATCAACTCATGGTCCTTAAATTCTGTCAGATGTGAATTCAAAGTAACTTGACTACTCACCAGGAAACGTTCTCGGCATGTAGTGTACAGATTATTGATTGGCATCCCTGAGAAGAACAATGTCCAACTTGAATGAATGATTAATAGCAGATAGATCTAATTGCATTCTACATACATGGAAATGGAAATAGAAATGGGAAACCAACGTATGAAAGAACTTGCCTTCTTCATCAGAGTGCGCCAATTGATGCTCCGCAAGAACTTTAAAAACATTTTGAGCATTTGGTGTCAGACTCTGTAAGACAATTGAAGCTGTCTTCACACTTTGAGCAGTGCCCCCATGAGCGAGAATGAAAGGGAAAAACATTGCTTCAACCTTGTATGGAGCAAAAGTAGGAACATGGGACCAATACCAGTTAAACTGTGTATGGACCATCTTCTTGTCCCACACTGATATATATGACATAGCCAACGTAGTAAAAATTAGACTTTTTTCAATGTGACATGCACATAATAAATACTCCTATAAGAGTTCGAAATCTAGGTGTTGAGAGAGATACTAAGGAATGACCAGAACTTGACATTTCAGCATCAGATGGTACAGTTAAGGTGCTATATATTTACGGCTAAGCAGCAATTAGCAAAAGGCAGTAATACCTAGTAATTCTTAAAACAGGTAAAATTAGTAAAAGGCACAATACATGCAAGCTACGGAAAACAGACTTCACAAAACACTCCCTTACACCTCTAGACATCCTCTGTTATTAGGGATGGCAATGGGGCAGTGTGGGTGCGGGGCGGGGCGGGGCGGGTTTGGGCCTGTGTGGGTTGATTTATAAAAATAAAAATAAAAATTTTTTGCGGTTGCGGGGTACGTTGCGGGTTGACGATGGTGTTGGTGTGGGTTTGGCCAAGCTAGAAACATATACTGATGATGCAATCACACAATAATGACTCTGGCTTGACAGAAGAGCTTTGATGCTTACAACAGTCTAGTGTTGTACTATATAATCCCAATATCATTTGCACACTCATGACTAATATATCAGCTATTTTTTTGGGGTAAGTACTAATATCAGCTTTCTCATCCTTCTGCTTCTTCACTGGCAAACTTTAGCACATTCTTTTGTCGGCCATTTTAGTAGTTGTTAGCTCTCAATTCTCATTATTGATGTTGATTAAATGTGAGTTCTTTAATTCATCACTTTTGTTATCAGTGGTTTTGATTTATGCATTTTATCACTACAACTGAAATAATGAATTACTTGTTAAGAAGTTAATGATAGAGTGTTGTCATATATTTTTAAACATCTCAAATGGAAATACTAAAAATTCAGAGGAATTGAGACATGGTGAGTAGCATGTAATAGTTCTTGAAAACCTATTAGCTATTTTTTTCTTCTCGCTTATTGCCCGAAAAAGAAAAAAGAAACCTAGTAAAACAGTTTACAGTTGCACCCACCTTAAATCCTTAGCTGAGACGGAAAATTCCAATCAAAAGATCAAAAAGAAATAAAACTGAAAAAATAAAGAAGAAAAAATTAAGGGGGGCGACGCGGGTGTGAGTGCGGGGCGGGTGGACGTGGGTGAAAATGCTATGCGGCGCGGAGCGGGCAGGTTGAAGTTTTGCAGGTTAAGACAGAACCCGCACTACACCCGCGCCTATTGTCATCCCTATCTATTATGCACGTCATATACATGCTCACACACGCGTTTGCAGAAAACACTTACAAAGAGGAGCATTGACATGGTCAATGGAAGCAACCATACGGACATGAGAACAAGCAGCAATACTTGCAAGACATTGTTGGCAGTCAGAATCACGCAACCCTGGACCATCAATGTTATGAACAACAATGCAAACAAAACACTCATCTTCTAGATCTGGTTTGTCTAGAAAAGCAAGAAGCTCATCCATGGATCTGGGGTTAAATGGTTGTTGGCTTTTAGACAGATTTCTTGATGTTGTCTTTTGTCGCAATTTTAGTTGATCCCAAAGGAGCTCAGCTAGTGTTATCACCACCTGCAATAAAAGATCAACAATAGCAGATCTCTTAGTATTACTAGAAATTTTGTGCCAGTAACGCGGATATTGTGCATCTCATACGGATCTTATCATATAATATCATAAAGAGGGGGTGTTCATAACTGTAATAATTGTTGATAGTAAGAAATATATTAAATTAAAAAAAGGTAATTACTACCATTATATTAAATCCCAGGCACCAGGAATCAAATGAACTCAAAACATATTTGTGTTTTTAAGTAATGATAGCTTCCATAACACCAAGTAAAAGGAACATTTAGCTTTATTTTCAACCTCTAATAATCTATTTCAATCATTTTAAGACTAAAATCTGGGCATAACCATCTTATTGTGCCTGCCAATGTCATATCTTCAGTTATTGCCCTCTCATTAAATCCAGTGGGATTACCTTGATATATACCAGATAACAGCTAAACTTCAAAAATTGTCACTGCTAACTTAAAAATCCATGTCAGTGAGCATGTGATGCACTAAAGTAGGAAGCTTGCAACCAAACAACATAGCTCCATGAGCAAAAGCTCCTGTCATGATCAGTGTTCTTGTAGTAATCTGTCTAACCCTAAAATACGGGCCTAAAACTTTGTTTTTCAGAAAATTTGCAAAATGGAAGATCCTGATTTTGAGACTTTCTAAACCAAAATTATTTTCTAAAACAAAGGTATAAAGCAAGCAGCACTTTTAAACAAGAAAATGATAGGGTGAATACCTGTTTAAGATTTATAGACTGGAGATACCCATTGACGACAACAACAGAATACTCAGTTAAAGATCTTGTGGCAAAATCTTCAATCAAAGCTTTCTTTGATCCAAAGCCATACATCAAAAGTGCAAAACCACACCTATCAGAGTAATAAAGGATTGGAAAGGGAAACCTTCCAGGTTTACATTTGATAGCAAATGAATATAAGGCAGGTAAAAAACTTATCCAAGAAGCATATCGTGGACACTGACCTTAGCACGAAAAGCCATTCTGAATACAAACTTTTGTACCTATTGATCAAATCATTTACTTCTTTCTCATGTTTGGGCTCAATAGTAGTTGCCACCTCTCTTAATTCCTGCATGCAACAATCATCATTGTGGACTCTCAGTAAGAAGAATCATAACTGGAACTTTATCCATTATGCATTGGTCAGGAAAGATTAAAACATGTATAAGGGCACAACCATGTACAACAAGTGTAATTTGGAAAATGCATATTAACCCTCATCTTTGAAGGTATTGTCCACTAGCCCTTTGTTGATTCTATCTTTCTTTCCTTTGTCAACAAGACGAAAAGGGACAATAGATTCATAACAACAGAAGCCAGAAAAATAATATCAGCATCGTAAGAGAAAATAGATAGAAAAGCAATAACAATAACCAGTAATAATGGTACGGACTATGAAAAACAGAAAAATAGTGAAGAAGAAAAACGCTCAACTACCTCCAAACCTTCAATGCTCGACCTCCACACATTCCTATCAAGAGCCATGTCCTCGGAAATCTGAAGTCGTACCATGTCTGCCTGATCAACTCTCCCCAATACTTCTTAGGCCGCCCTCTACCTCTTCTCATACCCGCCAAAGCCAACCGCTCACGCCTCCTAATCGGCGCATTTAGGCTTCTCCTCTGCACGTGCCTGAACCATCTAAGCCTTGCTTCCCGAATCTTGTCGTCCATGGGAGCCACCCCACCTTCTCCCGAATATCTTCGTTCCTAATTTTATCAAGCCTAGTATGCCCGCACATCCATCTCAACATCTTCATTTCTGCTACTTTCATCTTTTGGATAACCTTTATTCATTTTTTTTCTTAAAAGCACTTGACTGGCCAAATACTATATTTTTCTTTCTACATAGTTTAACTGAAGCTACCGCAATGACTGGGAAAAAAGAGAATTCTGAGTGGTAACTTAATGTGTAAGGATTGTTATCTATCAAAAAAAGTAACGTGAACGATTATTATTAGTCTGGGCGTTTTATTTTTGGATTTCTTTGTTTCAAAAGATAAAAAGCTGCAACATTGTCAACTGACAACAATTGTATAGTTATGTGATTATGCGATAGGAATGCTTCCTTTTACCTTCAACCTGGCTTTCTATTCATTTTGCTCTCGTTTTTGAACATTGGGTTTAACCTCTGAATTTCCTAAGGCTCCATTCAGATGCAAAAGGTTTTCCATTCATGTATTTGTACACACAGCTGGCCATTTGCATGTACAGGTTCCCATCAATATCTCTTAAGCATTTCACAATAATTCAGTTTCACTTTTTCTTTGTGTAATTGTTATTTATTAGCTTCATTCAAATGTTAAAAAAATTATGTATTGAGGATTCTATAATTCAAATCCTTGCAAATATGTGAAAGCAAACAATTCTAACGGGAACTAGTATGTTTTCAATCTTAAGAAAATATCTTGAATATCTTTTCATTATTTGTTGGATTTGGAGTTTCTCATTTTCCCTGAACTCGACAGATAACTATTTATATTTGTTATCTTGAAAATTATGTGCTATGTCTCTCTACCTCACACTAAGTGAACTCAATTCGAGCCATATATACAATTAAACAATTTCTGAAAAGAAGTATCCCTACATAAGGTTGCAACAACTGTCTGGGAGCAATGGTACTTCACAATCCACCTTTGGTTGAGATTTAGCAACTAATAATATAAACAGATGAGATATTAGAAGGCAAACACAGACCTCTTCGTCCACAAGATCGATTTCAGAGAGCTTCCGAGCTGACTTTTTGCGTGAAGAGCCCACTTCTTTAGCAAGAAAATAGTTTCTTGAGAACCCAAACTCCTCTTCCTCAATCTCATTTGCATCCATTTCCTCCGATTTAGAGAACCTGAAACACTAAGACTAATCATTTGACAAGCACAATCTCAGAGAAGTGCGTTTTTGAATACCAAAGTTTTATCAAAACCTTTAGGAAGTTGGTACTAAACTCGTCACAATCTTCTTTCCGATTATTTTTCTTTTTCACTCTTCTTTCTCATTCAGATGCCTTTTCTTTGTATCATAAAATAAAAACCACAATCCCTAATTTCTCTTCCACATTTACTAAAGAGAAACTGGTCCCTTAATTTGTGGTGAGTATTTATTTTTAAAAATTAAGAAATATGCTTTTAGCTATAAATAAATCTGTATCTTGAAATAAAACAAAAACTGATATTATTTATGATAATAATTTTAAATAAGTTGTACCATGAAAAAATCTCAAAAGCAAAAAAAAAGGAAGCAAAGGAAAGAAAGCAATCAAGTAAGTTGCAAGAAAAACGAGGCCCAAGCCCATAGTCGGTCCAACACCGCATAAATGGAAAACATCATTAGGGTATTTATTTGCTTAGAACCGAACACTGATGGTGAAGAAAAAGAACAGTGGTTGTTCTCAACCAAGTACTCGAAAGTGCGGTGGTGAGTTTGATTTCATCCTCTTCTCCTTTTATATACTTCTTATTAGTTTGTAAAGGTAGTCCTTATTGCTATGTATAAAAATTCAAGATTGTCATTCATTCCTAAGCTCTTGAATCTGAATTGCTGTTTTTTCGGAAAAGTCAGTATTTCTAAAAACTAAAAAAAAACGGCTCAAGTGGGAAAATATTATCCATGAACTCCGAAATTAAAACCTTAAATCTTCAAAGGATCTCTTGGAAATCCTCAAATTCAAAATGAGATCTATTCTAATAATGAAAAAAACAGGTTTTACAAAGCGGAAATTTATTTCAATAACGGGCGGATAGACAGAGAGAGCAAGAAACAATTAGGAAACCCTAGCAGCTAAAGTTTTGAGCAGCCGCAGCTTTCCTCAAAGCATAGAGTATATACTCTTCCTCCTCACTTAACACTCACCATCTTCTCTACACAGACCTATAGCAGCAGCAACGGAAAGTAATAGCAGCTCGCAATCAAAAGGGTCTTCATAAGCAGCTTCCTCCATAGCTCTCCATGAATGACTTAGCTTTCTTCTTCACACAAAGACACCATTTTTATACCCTTACAGCCATAAAAATGCAGCCTCATAAACACCATTGAAGCACTCGTTTTCATCTCCTAAACCCACTATAATTTTTCACTAGCATAAACACAAATATCTTCTTCCAGGCAGTCACGTCAGACACCATAGGGAAGAAGAGTCGAGGCCTAAGGTACCAGTTGGGGGTACACAGACTTTACCCCAGTCCTAGGAAAGCAAAAAGGCTAATCATGCTTTTAACACATGTTCAACAAATTCATTGCAAATATATCATCAATCAACAAATTTTTCTTTTAAAAAAAAATAGAATAAAGTCATACCAAAACAGAAAACTCATGAAAAATGTAACGCAACAAAGAGGCACCAATTTTCCTTACTTTTCCTACTGCCATGAACATCTTAAGCCCATGAAACAACTCTAAATGATATTATCAATTGGCACACAACTTTAAAATACTTGTAAAAAAACAAGATATAGTATCTTAATGCTTAACCAAATCAGCTAATGGTCTGATTATTAGCAATCCATCACTAGCCCATTTTTAAAGAAAGAAATTTCTGATGCTATAACCCCATCTTAATTCTTGCAGCGATAACTCAAACCTTCTTAAAACAGAGGGGAAAAAACAAAGTAGCGAAAGAACTAACTTAAACGAACAACTAACGTGTAACACAATAGTAACGGAAATTGAAGAAAACGTGAAACTAAGTTTAAAAAAGAAAAAAAAAAGAAAGCGTTCTTTGGCTTATGAATTAAACCAAAGACCATTGACTTAAAGCCATAAAAATCTGCCACTTTAAGGATTTAATCCTATTAAATATTTCACCAAACAAACTGTACCCTCTCATACTGTAAACCTCAAAGCTACAACTTATTAATTGTCCTCATTTCAGTTTTAGCCACCCCGACCCATATCGGTTAATACTTGGATTTTCATCATGTAGTGAAGCATTCCACACCCAAAGTCATAAAAGACTAATTTAAATATAGAACATCAGCAAGAAACTCACGATAACTTGCAAAAAAACACCAAAATCAGCATATACTTCAATAATCAACATTCCAAGGACAAAAATCAATAATTTCAATGAACTGGAAAAGAAAGAAAGGTTAATATGTTGATATAAATGGACCTTTTATGAGTGTATATGAACGTTAAAACTTCTGTAACTCAACGATCGAACTGAGAATAAACAGCGACGCAGAACCGGAGCGGCGACCGGAGCTTTGACGGTAAGCCTCGGATGATACCTCAAATAGTAAACCTGAACAAATCTCTTGAGTTCTTTGGAGTTCTGTGACTATTATGATTGAGAACACGGAAGTGAAGGCTTCTATGGTGGTTTTTCAAGGGTGGGGAAGATGAATGTAAAAAAATGACTGTGGTTTAGTGTGAACTGTGAAGAAGAAAAGTGCGGCTGCTTTTTAAGGGCTAAATCACAGTAGCTATTTATTTTCTTTTATTTTTCTTTTCTCTTTATTGTTTTTTCTTCTTATTTAAGTTTAAATATTTAGATTTCTTTAGTATAGCTATTTTATTTCTCTTTAATACTTTCTCTTAGGTTTAGATAACTAGTATTTTTGTCTAGCAATTGTAATTTAGGGTGGAATAACAGTCTTCACAAAGTCTGAAGGAGCTGAATAAAAAAGCATTTTACAAACATAAAAACTGAGGCAACTGAGGATAGAAAAGAATTACTTGCGGCACAGTTAGCACTGGATCAAATTATCATATTTGGCAGAAGTATTTCTTCAGCAAAGGAGCAAGGCAAACTGGATCAAATTAGGGGATGATAATACCAAATATTTTTATGTTGTCATAAAGAATAGAAAGCTCAAACAAGCAATAGTTCAATTGAAGGAAAGGGAAGGTAGAATACAGACAGAACCCGTGACAATAGCCAACATATTTGTAGAATTATACCAAGACTTGTTAGGGAAGAAAGAGGAGCACAAAATCAAGGCATTCAACAATTTTTTGAAGAACGGGTACACTCTATCAGTGGATCAGCAACTAGAATTAGTTAAGGGGTACACTGAAAAAGAGGTGAAGCAAGCTATGTTTGGCATTAACATCAACAAAAGCCCAGTGCTAGATGGCTATGGTAGTGACTTTTTTAGGAAATCTTGGAATTAAGAGATGGCAAGTTGTTAAAGCAGATAAATACAACCATGATATCTCTGATCCCTAAAGTGTAAGATCCTCGGCTGGCTAGTCAGTTCAGACCTATCTCGTTGCAATGCGATTTACAAATGTATCTCTACGATACTATACACCAGATTGAAGAGAGTGCTAAATCACTTAGTAACATATACACAAGCTGCATTTGTTGAGGGGAGATCTTTGATATACAAAGTTCTAATTCGTCATGATCTACAAAGACATTACAACAGAAAGACAACTCATAGATGCCTCGGGAAAATTGATTTGAAAAAGCCTATGACGTGGTTAGTTGGGACTTCATAAAGAAGGCTCTAATTGGGTATGGATTCCCTTGCTCATTTATTCAGCTAGTAATGACATGTATAACTTCTACAAAGTTCTTTGTAAAGGTGAACGGGGAAAGGTATAGTTACTTTGAGGGGAGAAGAGGACTAAGGCAAGGGGATCTGATTCCCCCTTGCTATTTGTTCTAAATGGAATATTTGTCAAGAACCATGAAGAGAATGAGTGAGCTCCCTGATTTAAAGTTTCACCCAATGTTACTTTGAGGGGAGAAGATGACTAAGGCAAGGGGATCCGATTCCCCCCCTGCTATTTGTTCTAGTAATGGAATATTTGTCAAGTGTAAGCATAAATTTAATTTGCATACCAGGATATTGAACATGATAGTCTTACACAAATCGTTACAGAAAAACATACCTGAAGTGAAATCCATTACCGTGAAGCGGAAGCGTTAATTGGAATTGGTGTACCAGCAAGGAGGCAACGGGTTCAGAATAAACTGAACCAAAATGGAATTATCCACTTTCACCCCCAAGGTCAGAAATCTTGCTGCAATGTTAGTCATCTCGATGATATGGTTTTGCATACTACGCGACCCATCAAACTTCATGGTCGTGAGTTCAGCCATTAGTATACCAGCGAGAGACTTATCTGCAGAGCGAAAACGTCCTTCCACAAACTTCAAGTATTCCCTGGCACTTTCTGTTTGTGGAATAGTACTCTTAATGTTGTTGGCAATATTCATTCGCATAAACATAAGGTTTAGCCCGTTAGAGCGTTCCCATGCTTTATGGAAAGACTTCTCATCCGCACTGCTCGAATCAGTAATGGCAGCGGGCTTATCATTCAGTAGAGCCAAGTCAACATCCATCACGCCTAAGTGGAACTGGACTTGTTCACGCCATTCAGAGAAGTTGAATCCGCTGAACACAGTAACAGACGAAGCAAGCAAATGAAAAGGAATAGCTGCAAAATAGATAATACATGCTCACTGTTGATATCCAATTTTTCCCTATGTAATTTATTATATACTAAGTACTTTCAAAATAGCATATATACGCATATATAAGCATATCTAAGTGTTTTGGTATTTTTCCTAATTTTTAAAGATTTTTTAAATCAACTTATTGTCCATTTTAGCAATACAAAAATCAGTAATTATTCCCAAAGTTTATCATTTTGGTGAATGACCTATTTTATTCTCATGTTTACACAAAAATATAGCTTAGGTGATTTTTTGTATAGTTTTTATAAATTTATTTGGTATTTAA